CTCTGGACCGGGCCACCAACCCCCTCCCCGGCCTCACCTTATCGCGCGAAAATTATTACGCGCGAAGGTAAACAGAGCGGCGTGCGCGTCATATTGCCAACTCTTCGCGAACACTGCTCCGCGACCTAGGCGCTATTGCAAATGTGCGGACCTTTAACACGTTCGCTTCGCGTCTATCTGACGATTCCAATCAGTTCGCAATAACGGGCGTTATTTCGCCACACAAGAGGATCTCGCAGTTATAAGAGTGACTGCTGATCCATAGGTCTTATGCAACTCCAATCGTTATTAACCATAAGTATTACTATTATTATTATTATTATGAATTATTAGTTAACGCGCGAATGACCATCCATCGTAAAAAAGTAACAAACAGGCAAAAGAAGCGAATCAACAGCTGCGGGCGGATGACTGCGCTGTCTCGCGGAATTTTTGCATCACCGAAAAGTTTCCAAGCAACAGTAAACGAGTCTTGTCAACATTATCATATCCAAACGTTATTATCGGTAAAACTAATAACCGCTTTATCGTAATATAGGAGTGGGGGGACGGTAGTGGGGGTGGTGGAGGAACGCGTGGTAGAGCCGGGGAGCGGGATGGCCCCTTTGTTTACACGATTCCTTATCAAGCGGCCGCGCTCGTTTCACGTGCAAAATAAAAAATTCTCGCGAGCGGAGAAGCCAAGATAACGAAGGGGTGCAGTGGGGAGCGCGAGTGGGGGGAAATAAAAAGAGCGAGACTCACCGCAGACGTTGAGCCAGCCCTCGACTCGGCACGGGTACTCGAGCCTCATCCTCGTCCTCGTGGCGTTGTCTCGAGAGGGATGGTGGGTGGGTGGGAAGGCGTATTGGGCTTGGGACGGGGGAGGTGGCGGGGCTCGCGAGCACTAGGTTCCTCCCGGGCCTCACCCGAGGCGCATCCCCCGTGGGGCCAAGGGTGCGTGGAGGCGATCGGCGCGCGCGCGCGCGCGCAGTCGCGGACTGAAGACACGTGCGAAGCCGGTACGAGGCGAGCGGACCGGCGTCCGGATTCAAACTGAGCCGTGCCGCGGACGGACGCCACCGCTTTCCCACCCGGTGGAGACGAGACGAGTCGACCGGGGTGCCGCGGCTCGGTCGGTAAAGAAGAGGCGCGCGCGCGCGCGCCGACGGCATCCCCGAGGCTGCAGGAAGCCGTTTCCGGGAACCGGAAGCCCTCGACCATCGCCACCAACTGCTACGTTTCGCTGCAGCCCCGAGATCCTACAAGGTCAGTATAAGCTCGCGCGCTTCGCAAAGTTCGCTTCATTTTCGAATGATCCGCCCTTCACACCGGCCCTTCGCCGGCATTAATACCCACGAGACATTTCCTTCTTCCTCTTCTTCTTCAACTTTTTCTTCTTCTTCTTCATCATCTTCTTCTTCTTCTTCTTCTTCTTCTTCTTCTTCTTCTTCTTCTTCTTCTTCTTCTTCTTCTTCTTCTTCTTCTTCTTCTTCTTCTTCTTCTTCTTCTTCTTCTTCTTCTTCTTCTTCTTCTTCTTCTTCTTCTTCTTCTTCTTCTTCTTCTTCTTCTTCTTCTTCTTCTTCTTCTTCTTCTTCTTCTTCTTCTTCTTCTTCTTCTTCTTCTTCTTCTTCTTCTTCTTCTTCTTCTTCTTCTTCTTCTTCTTCTTCTTCTTCTTCTTCTTCTTCTTCTTCTTCTTCTTCTTCTTCTTCTTCTTCTTCTTCTTCTTCTTCTTCTTCTTCTTCTTCTTCTTCTTCTTCTTCTTCTTCTTCTTCTTCTTCTTCTTCTTCTTCTTCTTCTTCTTCTTCTTCTTCTTCTTCTTCTTCTTCTTCTTCTTCTTCTTCTTCTTCTTCTTCTTCTTCTTCTTCTTCTTCTTCTTCTTCTTCTTCTTCTTCTTCTTCTTCTTCTTCTTCTTCTTCTTCTTCTTCTTCTTCTTCTTCTTCTTCTTCTTCTTCTTCTTCTTCTTCTTTACCAATTTATTTATTAGTAACGCGGCTGTTTGTTTCTTACGTTTGATAGAAACCAATCTAGAGATCATCACGCGAGCGTTTTATTCTTTGGCTGCTGTAGCTTTCTAAGAGAAAGTAAGAATTTTGAAAGGTGATAAAATTGAGCCAATGTACGTGTGCGCGTTTAAAGTTAAATTGAATTCTGTTCATTTATTGTAATTAATCTCGGAGGAGAATAGTTACCAGATATAGAGAGATAAACAGATTGCAAATACGCGAAAGAAACTTTTCTACATTAGTAGAGCTTTCTATCTGCAATTTCTTTTACTTACTTTTCATTTAACGTTTGTTTTAACTTTTTAAGTTCTAAAAAAATTGATTTCCAAATTTAATGGAGAATGAAAACGAACAACCAAAATTCATAATTACTATTTATACTTTAATATAACTGTAAAGATAATTTCAATTATCATAAAGTTTATTATATTGTATCATTCGTGCTAATGTTGAAATAATTTGCATTTTGTAAATCATAAATTAAAGTTATAGTTATTTCGTTATTTTGTTAATGATAATTATTATGTAACGAGAAAACAATATTTCAATTTTAACATTACCATGGCGTACAACGCAAAACACATTGGGAACATTTGAGAATTTCCATTTTAAAGCACAAAATTCTCTATCCCTTCCATTATTTCGTGCAGAACAAGTGCCTTAAAAAGAAAGCTCTGGCTGATCTGTCGATAAAACAATATCGATCGGTTTTTCGCTCTGCACGCGAGAACGAACTTTCCAGGTCGCCGGTTTGTCGATATTAGTAAGATGATAAGATGACTCGTCGTCATCTGCATTCTTATCTCACCTTTTCTATTCGCTGAGCAAGTGGGTTATCTGTCGTGAATTAAAACGAAATCTGTACACGTACGGGACGGCGATAGTACAAGGAAATTTTTAACGAGTCCATAATAATTAATTTTTCATTTGAATTCCCAATTTTTTCCCAATGATTAGTGAATTAATTCACCAATGATTCGAATGAAATTTGTCAAATTGCTTTTAGTTTTAGCTAATCCATTTCAGCAGTAAGAAGTGTGAAATATTTTCGTAAGCAAGTAGCCATTTTATTATGAAAATTCATTTGGATAATTAGTTTTTCACTATGACAATTAGTTGATCCAATCCTGAAATATCGATAATTTAAATAATCGTGACATATTTAATGGAATAAATTCACTCACCACTATATAGAAATATTATTTGAAAGCAAAAAATTTATCAATACGCTATTTTTTGTATTTTGCTTTTTTTTTTTTTTTTTTTTTTTTTTTTTTTTTATTAATAGTATATAATTTTAATTTTACATGAAATTGAATTTGTTAAGATAAAGGACGCCAATGTCTATCGTAATATTAACTGAAATTCTTTCCAACATGAAAATCTCTCCAAATAAAATATTTTTACTTTCAAATTTTAAAAGCTCGTACAATTGCTCGTTGCGATTAAATTAATCTCTTAAATAAATATGATGATATACTTTTCAATTATTAATAATCACTTGCATGCATTCGGTAATATTGTTCAAGGAATGTTCAAGAACAACAGATCGCATGAAATTGTAATTATTGTAAATTTGTAAGAGAAAAATAATCGTTTAATTTGAAATTCTAATCGAATAATTCTTCTTATTATTACAATTTTCTCATCGTTATTTTTGTTAAATTGTTGGGTTTTAGAAGACGCGATTGTTCAGAATATGATATTTGTCGTCTGCTTGTTAAGATGTACATCGATATGTTCGTCTCGTACTCCTCCACCATATGCCATTATAATGTAAAATTTTGGAATTTGAAATTTTTTGCGATAACATAAATATATTCTACATAATTTCAATTTTCTTACGTTTAAAATCTATGTAATATGTAATGCAATTTAATGTAAAACGTTGATATTTATTTGCCGTTGTTTGTCATGTGTAAAATTGTTTCACCCAATGTTCATCGTACCTTACTGCAAGCCCATTAAATTTGAAATATAAATATTGAAATATCCCTGAAAGCGTGCATTATTAACGATTTTAAGAGGTTGAAAACTTGAGCTTTAAAAGCGAATGTGGAAAGGGGTATTGCGTATACGATCAGTATGCGCGCGCGCGCTCGTGAGTGAAATAGAGAGTGCGCGCGTGGGTGTATGGGTGGGTGAAAACGAATCTCCAGCGTCGTTTGAGAATTTCAGTTTTAATGGAAAATTCAAAGTTAGAGCCATCTATAGGCGACCAGTGACATTATCAAATGACATTACGCGCCTAGAGAGAGCACCCGGGCACGTACACTCTTGCTTGCCGTACACGGACGGTAAAAAAATTACTTCCTTTTCTCCTTACAAACGGTAAGCTACACGGGCTCTCGTGGCGCGTCACACGCACACAACCAAACGCCCGTTTACTCAAAAAGGACAAGGGCATTATTATTATTGTTATTATTATTATTATTATTATTATTATCATTATCATTATTATCATTATTATCATTATTATCATCATTATTATCATCATTATTATCATTATTATTATTATTATTGTTATGGGGATGTACGCGTATGTAGGGAAGTGAGAGTGTATGGGTGGCGCGATAATTTTCTCGCGCAAAGAATTTTCACTCGTCGTTGAATCCACATCGGGGATTAAATAATGGTAAATAAGGCGTTGTCGCAACAAAGTCTCGTTCCGCGCTTAATAAATGGTAAGCAGCGAAAAACCGAGGATTGGCCGATTCGGAAAGAAGGACGAGCGACGTACGGCGAACCCGAGCCGCCGCGTTTAAAAATCAATATATGGTTGAAGGGCGGGAAGGGGCCCTATGTCCTCGGTATAATAAGTCAGCTGGAGCGCGGGTTTGCGGCCGTAAACGTCGTTTCCAGCGTCGACGGTTGCGTCGCCTAGCCCCGGCCGAGACTCCTCCTCGACGAGAGTTTCAACGCCGCGCGAGGAGGCGAGGCGCGAGCTACGGGGCCGAGGGCGCATGCGCGCCACCGGAGCCGAGCGAGCCGCTGCTGCTGCCCGCCGCCGCCGACGAGCCGCTCCTCAGTTCTGTCAAAATGGCGCTCAAGGCACAAGTCGGTCAGAGTGAGTACACTGCCTGCTATTGTCGTTTATTTATCCTTGCCCCGTCAGGGCACCGCCATCGCCGCGGAGGAGAACTCGACAGCGCGCCCGGGATATTGTCACTGCGTTTGCTAGGGAAACCGCGAGGACGTCACCGGGGAGCTCTCCGTTGTCCCCTCGACATTGGCCCGAAACATCATCGGTTACCCCTAAGCATAGGCCTCTCCGAACGTTTTCAACTCCACCCCTGCCCAGCCCTTGAACTGCGTGCCTACGTGCCTGTGCGCGTGTGTGCCCGCGCGCCTGTGTGTACCTGCGTTCCGTACGTCTGCGGTTGTGCGCGCTAGTGCGCCCGTCCTAGCTACCAGCGAGTGTGTGTAAGCGCGCGCGCGCGCTCGCGCTACTAGTTTGCGTGAGTGTGTGGGCTCTCGCGCTCATGGCCACTCAAAGCGCGTAATTTATTTGACGAATCTATCGCCGTTGATGCGACACGGACTTATCGACGGGCTCGGTACGCACGGACACACGCACGTACAACCGTTCTCGCCCTTTGCTTGTACTCGCAACAATCGCATCCTCCTCTTCTTATCCATATTGTCGAGGAAATTAGCGTAATTGATAGTGAAAGAATACAAGGACCGTGAAAGTTAGCCTCGAACTTATTGCTTATTATGCTCGAGCTAAAAGAAATCGTAATTAATGACGAAAGCTCATGCTAATAGTCAGCGAGGATTCGTAATTCGGTCATATTGGAATGACCTTTGCTCCTTAACAATATCTTTTCCTCAATTATTACCAGCACTTTTAATAAACAATTTAATGAATCATCAGACTTCAATTCACCTCCAAATATTTCGTTTAATGCTCACTTGTGCTTTCACATTCGATAAAATTCTTTAAATTACAATGATGTCACCTATGGATTCTGGGACGATAATATTCGTAATTCCTAGTTTTTAGTCATACTTGAGTTTAAAATATTTGTATACCTGTCGGTAAAAATTGTCTGCTAATACCCTATTTCTCCATTATTCTTGAGGTTTTAGATAATTATTAAGGTATTTGCAGGACTCTAATCAGCTGACTTTATTTTGACTCGGAGGTCTTACGCAATACATAACTTTATTGTTTATGTATTCGTAAACCTCAAAGTCGCGACAAGAATGTTAAAATAATCCTAAACTAAGACATGAAATGCCTCATAATACTTTTAAAACATTTCACGTACGAACGTCTTCTTCTTACATCTTCATTTGCTTTTAACCAACCGAATTGAAATGTAATAACAATACAATCGGCGGGCACTTAAAATAGATTGGATTTATTATTAGCTAACTTTGTACTATCCGAAGTTGAAACTATAATTAACGAGCGGATTTAACGCAATTCCACATGTGGTGGTTGTACACATATACTCGTGTACAGTCCGGACAGTGGGGAACGCAATTTATAAACCAAACATTTAAGAGGATACAATTGCAGATTATAAATCATAAAAGAGTTTCGTTTGGATAAATTTTGGTTATCATGCGCGACGTCGATAAAAATGAAATTTAATTTTTAATCGCGTTAATGTAATTTCTACACAACGGTTATACGTCATTAAAATCGATCGTATATTTATTTACAATATAAGAGAATCCATTGGATATACATTGAAGTATGGAAATTTGATAAATTCCTATTACAAGGCTGTATCGCGGATGTTTAAAGTAGGTAGTAATCGAGCATTAAAAGAAAATAAATAATTCAATTAATCAAGTAGTCAAGTTAGTGTTTGGATCCTCGGCAAATGATGTCTCAATCGTCAATAAGCCAACTGGCCTGAATGATACTTTAATACGAATATCATCCAAAGTCATCCGTTTATGTGCGAAAATTATCCGCGCATTATTTCTCCCACTATCATATCTTCAAACGCTTAATTATTTAGTTGACGATAAAAATCCATGTCGATGAAATATAATAATCTCGATAACGCTAAAGTTTAATGCATTAATTTTTTTTTATATTATTGATTTTTAAATTATATTTAGTTTAAAATTATCTTCTGCTTTTGTCAAAGTATTGTCTATATCGATAAGACAGCTTTAACGTGAGAATTTATTACATTACGCAACTCGTGAGAATAATAATATAAAACATAATTATTACACTATATTGACATTATTACGACTACGTTAATTGTACATGCTTTTTTATATTACAATATATAATATACCACTTGTATAATTACCAAATTAATTGTTATATGTGATTTCAGAGAGTTCATTCTTAGATAAAAATTAAAAGCATGTAAAATTAAATATTTAGCCCTATAAATGAGTAGGATTAAAATATCCTTTTGAATTTACAATTATGCGTGATGTAATTGACAATGGTTGAAAGTAAAAATAGGTCTTGTCTATACGTAAAAACGCACTGATCTCGAAGAAATTTTGCATTTACTTGTTGCCCTTTAAACTTATTCTTTATTGGTAGATGTGACATAATGTTAATTAAATATTACATTAATAGTGCATATCATGCTTTGCTGTATTTAACTAGATAATAAATAATTATCCTATAGTACAATGCACATTATTCAATAGGCTAATCAAATTTGTAAATGTCATTCGTCCGTGTTACTATTAATGCTATGAGTATTTCAAAGTATCATTATTTAATTGCATTATTTTGAGAATACAATTCAGTTTTAAATTATTTTTGTAACTTTATTATGCTCGCGCACTGAGCTATAAACTGTTATATATATATATATATATATATATATTTTTTTTTTTTTTTAACTAATATTTACTAAGATAACAACTTCATACTGCTATTATAAATTAGATCTTTTTGTTCCTCTTAAAATTTCTTTCGAATTCTAAAAATTACTACAAATAATAGTGCGTATGTTGATAGTTTTTTTCTCAAATTTTCTCAATACGAAAAATTTTCATTATCGAGCGTCAAAGGAATGCGTTATTAATATCTCAAGTGTTAATTATGATTTGAATCATTCATCTGAACAACGGACTTTGTTTATTAAAAAAAAAAAAAAAAATAAAGATTTTTTAAAATATTGAACGAAATCTCAATAGTATTCAATAATATTCAATATAACATTTTCAAGCTCATTTCACCATTCGATAATAAAATAATTGTACAATAATAGCAAATTCAGTATTGAATATTGAAAAAACTTTGTAAAAGAAAAAATATGTAATATATCCTTCCATCAAAACTATAAAGTTTCCTTTAATCATCATTTTGAAATTAAGGATACATTTCGTGTTATACAATAATAGCATGTAATTTCAATAGAATTATACAATACAATTATTTTTATCTCGCTGGTATTTGCTATCACTGCTAACAATTATCGCCTCATCGCATGACACATTGGATTCGACCATTTTTAAGCGAACATAAAACTACGCAACTAAGAACATAAGGCATCAAAGTATCGCGTAGTACGTACTATTCGCAACGATTAGCATACTCTCACAGCAAAATGGTGAAAGCAAATCTCTTATTTAAAATCAATCAAAATTATGCCATTGTGGAAGGTAGGATGGACCGCTATGGAAAACCACGGCTGGTCCAGGACGGAATTCCCGTAGAGCTCGAAAGGAACGTCGACCGAACCGGGGCGCCAGACCGCGCGCGATCAATCCCATTCATGCTGATTGTTGCAGTATCCGCGACCTTTCGCCCCCGCGTTTTACACTCGACGAGCAAAAATATAGAAATCGCGTTGGAGGCGATTACGCGCGCGCTGGCGTGTGACGCGCGGCTGGAAAAGTCTCGGGGGAAACGCGGGGGTGCTCGCGTTCGTGACGTCGCTCGGCTCTCGGCCCCCGATCAATACCTCGATGGATCCCTCGCGAATGCGCCCGCGCGTGTCTGGCCTCCTTCCCCCCTTCCCCCACTCACTCGCTCGCTCGCTCTCTCTCTCTCTCTCTCTCTCTCTCACACGCACGCACGCACGCACGCACGCATACACAAACGCACGCGCGCGCGCGCGCACACACACACACACACCCACCCACCCACCATCCTCACCCATCCACGCGCATCCGACCGTCGGTGGGAGCGTGCATGTGTGATTTAACCTGCTTTCTCAGCGCCGACGACATAACGTGGAAATTCCCGTAACAGGACTACTTGACCTCGCGCCCGTTCTTGCGCTCTTTTTCTTTATTTTCCAATTTCGTGGAATCGGTTAAACTGCTCGACACGGAGGATCGGCAGATTTCGTTTTACGGACGCTTCGTCGACTTTTACGAGCGCAGACCTTCGTCGCGCACAATTTATCGATAAATTTGAGCTGTATGTAGATTTTTCATTAACCAGCCCGAAACTTTATTTATCTTGCACTCGTTCTATCACTCCGAGAAAAAAAACGAGATTTTCGTAGGTTTTATGCGAATCGAGTTACTCGTTATAATATTTAACTTCCACAAGGGCAATTAACGATAATAATGAAAATAACAAGAATGAAACTCTGAAAAAACTATGAAAATAAAATTGAATCGGTGATTAAAATTAATTCCATACACGCTTTTACTTCTGCTAATCTCAATAGCCGAGACTGTATTTTTTATATAAATATAAAATCTTTCAGTTTATTCATAGCTATCACAAAATAGCTAAAACAATGGACTCCCAAGCTTTCCTTTAATTCCTTTAATTCCTTTAATGGCGAATCAATTTGTGTCGAATTTAATGCATATTTTATCACTTTATTGACAATAAGCCGTGAAGATAAAAAGCAAAGGTAAAACATACTTTGCATCGAATAAAGTAGTCGATTCCCTTAATTTTATTCATTATTAACGAAAATAAATTAAAATTATTTACTACGCATTATAGAGCAAATGCTTTTGTCTTCATAGGCAAACAATATACAAATTGCGGGAGCATATAATTTAATGGAAAGCTCTTTTTTAGCTAAAAAAAAAAAAAGGAAAAAAAAAGGACAAAATCTCTACATCCATTGAATCGACGAACCAGCCGTAAAATTAATTTCAATGACTAGGCTTCGTATTTAAATGAAATTACGAAGGAGAAGGGCGAAAATTTGCTTACACAACGGGCAAAGAAATGTTTCGTGCTCCCTATAAGGAGAATTTAATTACTGATGAATCGCATATAATCGGATTAACGACGAAAGCTAAATGCCATTGCAATCGGCTTATAAGGCCAGTGCTTCCACCCTCTAAAAGCCCTTACGGCCAAACGATTTTCATTTCGCGCAACGAGCGATTGCCGAACGATGATGCCTGGGAAAGCCTTCACAGCGTCCTTCCAACTCTTACTTTGCAGAGATTATGAATGAAGTGATTAAACAGAAGAAGAAGCAGGCAGGCGGTCTCGAGTGGCGTATCCTGGTGGTTGACCAGCTGGCCATGCGTATGGTCTCCGCCTGCTGCAAGATGCATGACATAAGTGCCCAGGGCATAACCCTCGTCGAGGACATACACAAGAAGCGCGAGCCCCTGCCGACCATGGAGGCGGTCTACCTGATAACCCCGAGCAACCTCTCGGTCACCAAGCTCATCGACGACTTCAGCAATCCCACGAGGACCATGTACAAGGCCGCTCACGTGTACTTCACCGAAGGTACGCTTCGACGTCTCTTTATTTGTCCTGGCTTCCTCCGGTGTCCCGATGACGTCGATCGTTGCCGCTGCACTGATGAATTTTTCATTTTCTAACAGCGACTCACACAGAGTCGAGATCGAACGACGTCTAACGCTTTCTTTATTTATTTGTTTTATTTTTTTTTATTTATTTATTTATTTTTTTTTATTATTTAATTTTTGTTTTTTCAACCAAAAATCTTCCTTTACCGATATTTATGCATGTTTTATCTTGGCTTAGCCTCGGTGATTTATCGGATTAAACTCATGAATTTCGTTATGCACTTTATGATTACGACTCGTTGATTATGCAGGAAAAGCAGAAATATATTGGGAATAATTAATAATTATGGTTAGCATTGTATACAATTTCTTCTTGCACCTAAGCTGCTAGTCGCTCAGGATTAAAACTTAATATGCTTCATGATTCACATTATGAAAACATACATAATATTTCATTACTTTACATGCAAATGGTTATTCGCTCAATTAAAAATGCCACAGATACACATTTAAAGTCAATTTAGCAATTACTCTAACAACTCATTTTAACGGGTATTTTTACTAAAAGCGTATATTCGCTTGTATTTCTTTATTAAAGTTCAATATGCAATGTACTATGTACATTCCCAAGAGCACACGATTCGACCTCACGAAACTAGCCAATTTATGTAAATATTTGACATTACAGTTAAGCTTTAAGCAGACCTTATCATTATGTAAAACTTTATACATAATTCTTCCTCAATTATAATAAATCTAATATCGTAATTTCAATATTGAAATTCAGTGCAATTGTGCCAATTCAATTACGTAAAATACATAAATTGTCAATGTAGATCGGCAAAATAGTCGTCATGCCCAATCAACGATAATCAACGATAAGAGCGGATAATTTAATAATTATTATATAGTTAATAGGTTTACAGTTTTATGATTATAGTAATGGTGATATCAATGGGCGCTCTCCCATCCAAATTCAAAATAATAGGCAATTCACACGCACGCACACGCACGCGCGCGCGCGCGCACACACACACAGACACACACACACACACATATATATATATATAAATATGTATTTAAATATCTCAACGAACTCGTGTATATATGAATATTAATTTTTTTTTTTAACAATTGTTAGAAACTAATTTTAATTGCTTTCATCATTATTATCGAACGATGAAGAGATGAAATTTTCTTACCTAAACTAATATATTCTTGATTAATGATAACTTTGATTTACATTTCATTTAAATGCAATTTAAATTACAGAATATCGCTCATCGATATGCCATACAATGTTTTAATCATTGTTTATTAACGCACTTATAAATAATTTTTACGATTGTTTTTAAGCATCATTTTCTTTAAGTTATCGAATTAATTTATTTGATAATATTTGTAAATTGAAAATAGTTTAATTTTACCTTTTGCTTCAACAATTCCCTTTACTTTAATCTATTACATCGTTCGTTTTCAACTATAAATTATAACGTACAATAATTTTTAATGCTCTTGAAATAGAGAGTCAAAGCGATGTTATAAAATTGACAAATTTTATTCTATATATTTAATGGATTAATGGCAGCAATAAATCGAAGCAATGATAAATTCAATACACCCAGTGAAAACTTTATTTAAATTGACCAAATCATTATCTTAACATTCATAAAATGCAATATCAGTTTTATTTATTAATATAGCGATTGTTAGTAGTTTAGTAGATTGCAAAAAAATTATATTCATTATATAAATGTCACACACACACACACACACAAAACACACAAAACACACAAAGCACACACAAAACACATACAACACACACATTTCATTGATATCATCGGAAATTACGTAACGATCGAGAAGATTATTAATTTTTCACTTTGATACGCGTTATAATTATTATTAGTATAATAATTAACAGGATAATTTGGTTAGAATCTTAGTTTATTTATTTCCAGCATGTCCTGACAAGTTATTCACTGACTTGTGTCATTCGACGATAGCTAAATATATAAAGACATTGAAAGAGATCAACATCGCTTTCATACCATACGAGGAACAGGTAAATTTGCGATCACAGAATGAAAATTAAAAACTTTTATATTAACAACTGCAATTTTGCATCTGAAAAGGTCTCACGGTGAAGGGCTTAAACACTAAAAATTTACAGATCTCTTTCGATTTCGTTTAGTGGATGTTACAGAAACTATTATCATAGCATCGCCCATTAATTATATTTAGAGCATTAAACATGAATAAAACGTAAAAAAAAAAACAAAACAAAACAAAAAAAAACATTAACAATTTAATTGTTTCTATCTCTCTTTAAGGGTTTGGTTTAAAGATTTATACAAATATGATTGAAATATTTATATACTTAATTATGATTTTGTCTAATTAACATAAATCTTCTATTACGTCGCAGTTATTTATAAATTATTTGGTATAAATGTAAAATTGCATTACCATGATACTTTAATAATTGTTCTATAATATTCACTAATTAACAAGTACATGTAGTTGTCTTATAAAAATGTCAATACTCATAATCGTGTTTTTTATTTATACACTAAAGCATGATATAAACACAATAAAATGTTTGTAATAATTATTAACTGTAAGCGATTGTATTAATCTTTGACTCTTCTGTTTCCTCGGATAATTAAGTTAAAAAAAAAAAAAAAAAAATCATGTTGCATTCCCTATTTATTCTCTATAGCAAATTATACGAACAAATTGACTCGTTAAACATTGATAAATTATAGATACGTAAGAATTGACGTAATCGATAGATAATAAAACATTCCTTCTATCTTAATACAACTATAGTGCTTGTTATAAACAAAAAAAATTGCAATTTCTTAGCTTATAAATTCACTAACAAATTCGTCGCTTTTGTCGTTTGTCTCTAATTTATTAGTCACACAAGCACATCAACTAACATAAATTCGATGCATTCATGCTTGCACATGTTTAGTGTGTCCCGAGGAGATGTTCAATGATATCTGCAAGTCTCTTGCTGCTAAAAAGGTCAAAACACTTAAAGAGATCAACATCGCTTTCTTGCCCTACGAATCACAGGTGAAAACAGTAGAAATGACGTAGATTATAATCAATCATTTATACATTTTTTTCATTAAAATTTTTAATCCTTTAATCATTCTAAGGGTCCTCGATATCACGATCCATCACTTGTTGGAATATTTAAGCATAGTTGCTTTGAAAAATAATCGATAAATCTTTATTTCACATACCACGAAATTTTAATTTTGCCTATGTTTAATAAATAAATTTCTTTAATTATAATTCAGTCTTAGTATTTGTGAATCATATATTATTCTACATTTTTCATTTACAGATTTTTAATGTTTTACATGTAATTCATTGAGGCTTGCAAGTATTGTGATAACTTTTGAATTTTTTTTTTTCTTTGCTTTTTCATTCTTTTCTTCATTGCTTATCAATAGTTTATCAATTTAATAAATCAATTAATGTTAGTATTACAAAAACTAATTATTATATTTAATTTTACGAAGAATTATATTATCAATTGTGAACGTGTTGTTTGTTCTTCGTCATCTAATTTATCTCTGAACTTGAAGGTATAATATACAGTTTTTGTATAGTGAAATAATTTTAACTGATAATGAAATAGCTATTCAGAAATAAAATTATTTTACTTTGTTCGAGCGTAAGCTTACAGCTGTATAAAATTCATCCAATTATATCAAGTTTTTACTAGCACATCATAGCATCGCATAAATTTTTAATCTCACGCGATGGTATAGACAATAAAAAAAAAAAAAAAAATATATATATATATATATATATATATATATATTATATATTATGTTATTCAGGTCTTTTCACTGGATTCTCGGGAAACGTTCGCTTGCTTCTACAATCCATCTCTTATTAATGTAAGGAACGCAAATATGGAACGAATTGCCGAACAAATCGCTACTTTATGCGCCACCTTAGGTGAATATCCATCCGTAAGATATCGAAGGTACGTTAAGGGCTCAAATTATTTAATCACGGTTATTCAATGTGACAAAGTAACAAAATATTCTCTATTCTATTAACAACAATATATGAAATACATAATTAATCGTACCATGTACAATGTTAATTTGCCGTCATCAGTGACTTTGATCGTAATGTGGAGTTGGCTCAGATGGTGCAGCAGAAGCTCGATGCTTACAAGGCCGACGAGCCAACAATGGGCGAAGGTCCCGAAAAGGCTCGATCCCAACTCTTGATTCTCGATCGCGGCTTCGATTCCGTATCTCCATTACTTCACGAGCTCACACTGCAAGCTATGGCCTACGATTTGCTGGAAATCGAGAACGACGTGTACAAGTGAGTACGAGCATTTGCCTCTTGCTGACATTTGCATCAAATGGCTATATTTCGTTGACGTGGGAGTGTGGCGGGGGTGGCGGGGGTGGCGGGGGTGGCGGGGGGGGAGGGGGGGTAGTAGGGGGGGGGGGAGGAGATGGGTGAGAGACAATATAACTCGATATTTCTAATGTTTAATTATCCTTTCAAGATACGAAGCAACCGCCGGGCAGGAAAAGGAAGTTCTGCTGGACGAAAATGATGATCTATGGGTCGAATTGAGGCATCAGCATATCGCCGTAGTATCACAGTAGGATCACGATCAATACCTTATACAGCTCGATAAATTATTCAATGCGTTGAAACGTAATGTTTAATTTGATTTTTCAATTTTTTTTACTTCTTTTGTTTTTTTTTTTTTTTTGTTTTTCTCGTAGAAACGTCACGAAGAATCTGAAAAAATTTACCGAGTCAAAACGCATGCCTCAAGGTGATAAGCAAAGTATGCGAGATCTTTCACAAATGATAAAGAAAATGCCACAATATCAGAAGGAGCTGAGCAAGTATGCGACTCATTTACATCTTGCCGAAGACTGTATGAAGCGCTACCAAGGCAATGTAGACAAACTTTGCAAAGTCGAGCAGGTATGATGGCGAATATTGATTCTTAATAAGTAATTTGTAATAACTTTCGTATATTATTCGTTAAAGTGATTATTACATTGTTCATTGTCCATCGGTCATTTAAAATTCAGACAATAAATTCTGACATTAATAGGTAGAAAAAATACGACATCGTTATACGTATGCGCGTGCATGCGTGCGTACGTGTATGTAATGTTAATTTTAATCGAAAGTAGGGGGAAAAAAAGTATATAAATAGAGTCTGTTAATTTGCAGGATTTGGCAATGGGAACCGATGCCGAAGGCGAACGTATTAAGGATCACATGCGTAATATCACACCAATTTTACTCGATCAAACGGTCAATAATATGGAAAAATTGCGTATTATTGCCCTTTACGTATTGAGTAAAAATGGCATACCCGATGATAATTTGAATCGTTTGATACATCATGCTCAAATGTCACCAGAGGATAAGCAAACTATCGTTAACATGGCAAACCTCGGCTTAAACGTCGTAGTTGAAGTACATCGTTAAATTGAATAACTTATTTCACATAGGGAGTGTACTATTTAAAATTGAAAATATCGTTCCTTCGAATTTACAGGGAAATCGTAAGAAAATTTACACTGTACCGCGAAAAGAAAGAATCACGGAGCAAACTTATCAAATGAGTCGTTGGACACCCGTTGTTAAAGACATTATGGAGGATTCCATCGAAGACAAACTCGATTCCAAGCATTTTCCCTTTTTAGGTGGTCGAACAGCCAGTTCTGGTTATCATGCCCCAACAAGGTAAATTATAACCATCATACCATTTTTATCATTTTGAAGGATTTTAATGTATAACAATGTTTAAAATTCTCCAAGTCTTGGCAAAAACAAAATCAACGATCAATCGTCTCTGTTCTATTAGAGCATACTTTAATCGAAAATTTTTATTTAAAAAATTATTTTTATCATCTCTTACTTGGTTATATTACAGTGCTCGTTATGGTCACTGGCATAAAGAAAAAGGACAACAAACAATAAAGAATGTCCCGCGCTTAATTGTCTTCATTGTGGGAGGTTGCTGCTTCTCAGAAATTCGTTGCGCCTATGAAGTTACGAATTCCACTAAAAATTGGGAGGTTATCATTGGTAAGAAAATATTTAAACCTTTTATATAGTTATAATTTGCAAAATTTAACATTATAAAACGAAATAGAGGTCTAGTAGTTCTAATTTTTTTTCTTCATTATATCTGATGTTTAAAAAAAAAAGAAATCATTCCATCGTCTATTACGATAAGATTTTCGTTTAATTTTCACTTTTGTACTTTGCGAAAAAATGATCAACATCAAATTTCTCTCTCTCTCTCTCTCTCTCTCTCTCTCTCTCTCTCTCTCTCTCTCTCTCTTATAATTTGTAGTTTATATGGTAGAGTTTAGAAAATATCATCTATTAAAACAATATTAATTCAACTGTTGGCATAATTAAACACACGTTTTATTTCAACGACCGGAGATGCTTTTAATCGATATGACACGAGGATATTTATAATTACTGATTCTTTATTAAATCAATCGATTTTATTTCTATTCTGCGTATATACGATACTGCCTGTGTTTGTCCAAAAAACGTATTTGCATGGTAGAAGAAAATTTTAGAAAAAATAATTCGCTCCATGAATTTGAATTACTTAATAAAATAATATTCACAATATTTATTGCCTATTTATTACAACATTTCTCTTCCGTAGGTTCATCGCATATTATTACACCAAAGTCCTTTTTGTCCGAGCTGTCAAAACTCCACATAAATTGCGCATAATTCAATTTTAAGGCTAAACAAGATCTCTAACATTCCCCGCATTTCAATGTAATTAAAGAAGCTACATATTGCTAAACTAATACCAGAAGCTCTGGTCCGGTCATCGTTAATAGATTATTTCTGATACTAATGATAGCACGTGTCAGCAAAAAGATGATAAATAAAAACAAAAAAAAAAAACAAAAAAAAATAACAAAAACAAAAAAAAATAACAAAAACAAAACAAAAAAAGATAAACAAAACCAAATTAGTTAATACGCTAGGAAACTAATGCACTTGAGTCAATTTACGTAGCAGCATGGATAAACATTTTTGCTATTACGGGAAGAATGATAATTGAAATGCTGATTATTGAAATATTCACGAGCCGAAAGAGAATAAAAAATCAATTTAACTGACTTATGTATACATAGTTCACAAACACACAAACACACACAAACACACACAAACACACAAACACACACACACACACACACACACATATCTAGCACTAAAGGAGTTACCTGGTAATAAAATGCCCATGTGAAATGAATAATGACGAATAGATTATGAATTTATTGGTGAAATGGTTGCTTGACTTCGTACCGGGTGAATATGTTCTTAGAGTCTGGGAAAATTTTTTTATTCCTAATTATATATACGCTACGTGAACATCTCCATTGGGCTGTTATTTATATAATATACGCATGTATATAATTGGAGCGATTTAAACGATCGAATCTAGATAAATGTAGGAAGATTTATCACAAGAAATATGTAATTGTTTATAAAAAAAATTCCCAGGGATTGTGCTGTAAAAATTGAGTATTGTGTTAAATTATTTGTCTTAGTGGTTGAAAAGTTTTTTGGAAAGTAAGATTGACTTTCATAGTTGTTGAGCCAGAGTTGGGTGAACGCGAATAAAAGTGAACAAAATGATTAATTTATAACGAATGAATTATACTTAAATGATTAATTAAACAAAAAAGAAAGAAAAAAAAAATTTTTTTCTTTCTTATTATTTATAATTTTTAATTCATGTCGATTACAGAAAAATGTTCAAAGTATTTTTATCAGAAGTTTTAAATAAATCGTTAGTTAAAAGGAAAAAATCGTAAACAATGTATCTCCATAACCACCATAATCGAATACCGAACAAACAATCTTTTACGAAATTATAGATAATAAAAATATCAATGAGAGCAAAATCTATTGTTGTGCGATGTTTGGCATTGTCGAAGAAAATTATGACCAATCTGTAAGTGTTAATTATTTATTACATCGGCATTACAATTTGCAACTTCATTGAACTTTTTGTCGATACGGGGCTCGCGGATTAATCGATAAACCACCAACATTTACGTAATCTTAGTCCTATTGAAAGAAGGTCTCGATCGAAATTAATAAATATTGCAGCTTAAACGTACTTATTAATAAATTTTAACATAAAAGTGCGCGTTTAAATTGCCTTCAATTATTCAATGCGTACTCGCAAGATGTAACATTTTTCTCGTTTAGTTTATTTTTAATTCCGCCCCCCCCCCAGATCAATGAATGTCCCTATAAATTCAGCCATTGCTATCAACGATTTAACATTTATTGCTCATTCTAATGAATATTCTTCGTATGTCTCATTGTCTCATGTTTTTTTATATAATTATCTTGGAAATGCATTTATACGAATATTGAGTTTACATTAGAATTTATAATTTACAAAATTTCAAATACGTGATAGTTTGAACATTACAACAACTATGCTATACATATGGGAATTAATGTATTGAAAAATTTCATGCAAATGACTAATTCATCATCGAATATGACAATGTCTATTATCATTGCATTAGTTATGTACGAATAATAATATCAAATGTAAAAAGAAATGCATATTGAATGCAAAGTGTCACTACAGTTTATCATTCTCACATTAAATAACTTACATCATATAATTACACCAAGCGAACATACTTTTGCTTTCTCGTGCAATTATCTGCTATAATACAGTGGAATGTTATTAATGTGATCACACAATACAAGTATAGATGGTCATTAATAGAGGATAACTGCTGCTAGTATTTTAGGGGTTTATGTTTGGTCGATGGACGTTTGTCTGTTAATTGATCGTTCACGAATTAAAGTACGTTATGATTAAACATTGCGGTTGTACGGCAATGGAATTATAGAGTTTACGATATTTATATGCATATGTATGTATATATGCCCGTATACATAAGAATTATGTATGTAGTTGTAGTCCAAAAGTGTTGCGCTTATAAAAAGGTCTACGCGTCAATGTAATACAATTTATCTTATTATGGAAAGTTCCATTTTGGTTCTGTCGACGTTTGAAAAAATTATGTATAGCGAAGAAGTTTATTGTACAATGTTTTGCTTTATTATTGTTAATGATGAATCGATATTATTTTCTAAATAAGTATTAAGCATATTTATTAACGAAATATTAAACATTTATTATTCGTAAAAGATGATAGTTTTATTTTGTATTCAACTTTAAGTTTTTAAATATACTGTGTACAAAATTTTTATAATTTATTAGAATTGCTCTGCTTGTATATTAAAATAGAATTCATAACAATTGAAATTGTTTTTAAAAATCCTTCGACTCCGCTCATTTCTAATGTACTTTGCAATATTAATAAATAATAAAATAGCAAATATCAATATTTTAGTCAGATTTATATTATTATTTGTATTTATGTAATTTTATTCAACTACTTTTTTTTTTCTTTGTTAACTAATACATTTATAAATATTTATTCCTATTGAATTTTCAAGATTTTGTTTAATTTTTGTATATATATATATATATATATATATATATATGTATTTGTAATATTTGTTATGTAAATCTTTTACAATTACACATTTTTATAACCTCAACATATATAAACATATAAATACATAATTATATATAAACATCTTGTGACTTTTTGTACATTTTAAAATTATATTTAAAAGTAATCCAAATAATTAATAATCAATTTTAATGATTAAAATGAAAATTTATAGTTTTTTACGATTAATCGTTTACAATATTATTTAATGATTTAAATTTATTGAACATCATTAATAAGTTATATGATAGTGAACAAAATCCAAATCGAAGACTTAAAAATTTTAAAAATCTGATATTTAAATTCATTAAACACGTTTTATATTTTTATTTGATCAAAAACTCCTCGCTTTTAATAACAAATATATTTTCCATGTATTAAAAATGTTATAATGTAAATAAATATAATTTTATTTAAAAATTATTCAAATTATGAACGTGTACAAACTATTAAATAATGCCAATTCTATAATAATTATTAGAAATGATTTTAAAATATTGTATTTCTATAATATTTTATTTATGTACGTTAATTAAAATTAGTAATTTTTGCGAAAGCGCTGTAAAGAATAATCCAAAATTGAAATTTTATATTAAAATTTTAAATATAAATATTTCTGGACTAATCATAAAGCGTAATTTATTTGTATTTCAAATATTTATTTAAGCTTATACAGTTATAAACTAAAGGTGATTGTCGTTGAAATTCATAATTATACAACCATTTGTTAATATGAGAATTATTTTTATTAAATTAAAATCTCGAATAATCAATTTTACTTTATTAAATACTGACGATGAAATGTCATTGAAAACTTATATGTGCTGCAAGTGAATATTGCATATTTCATAATTTCATAATTTTTCGTAAAATTAAAATGTGCACCTCTTACATTAATTTTATAAATATTTGAGCAAATTTTATAATAAATATTTTAAAATGTCATGAGTCAAATTTTAATGAATATTAAAAAATAATAATTCACTTATCTAGATCGAAGAAACATACAAGTTTTATCACAGTTTGTTTAAATAACGAAAGCACTTTAACACGCAATCATATTAAATTGTAAAATTAACATTAAGATAATAAATGTCAATAAGCATGAAATAAAACGTGATAAAAATTGTATTTGCTATAACGAGGAATAAATCAATTATTATCAAAAATAAACGTATTTTTTTACATTAAACGGTGCATTATAAAAATTCTATCAACTTTGTAAGGTACAAAAATATTTTGAACAACATGCACAACGTAAGTATTATTTTTATACAACAATTTGCCAAGTACTTCTATCTTTTTTTTAACTATAACATTTTCTTTTAATTCTTTGCTCCAATAACATGCAAAAAAGGAAGGGAAATGAATATTTTTCATTAATATTTTAATATAAGTTAAATACTACAATGTAATTTAAAGATAAACAATAGACAAAAACAATAGATAAAATAATTAACTTAACATTAGCATATCATCGAGTCATTTGCTCCATAAGAAATATATCATAATTCTTATTTTCGTATATTCAAATTTATATTCTTCCAAATAGCGCTTCGATTTGATAATAATATTTTTTAAAATACATAAAAAAGACTAAAGAAAAATGTATAGTAGCTAATGGACATTATATTTTATAAAATTATATTTTTTATACATTTTATATATTGTTCTTCCATGATACATTAACTAATTGCTCATTAACTATGATTGAAATAAATTTGTCAAACGAATACCAATATTCATGTAAAATCAATAAGCAATGGACTAAAAAATGTTTTTAATAGAAAACAAAAACAAAACAAAAAAAAAACAAAAAAAAAAACAAAAAATATAAAAACCATAAACAATAGTAATTCGAATTTTAATTAAAGTTTTAGCTACAATAAGAATAACAATATAAAGGAATATTGTTGAATTTTTTAAATATGGCACATGCATAAATTACAATTGAAAATATTATAACTGTGTTTATTGCTAGTTGTATTCTTAATATTTAAAGTTTTTTTTCACTTACATTGGTATTTTATTATCTTGATAATGACACTAGTTGTATTCAAATGATAAAGAAATTCAAAATCAAAGAAAATGTTAGATTTAATAATGTAATGAGCAAGAGACATGTCATTCAATGATTCGATTGTTTATTTCAATGTAAAACTACGCAACACATATAAATAATAGTAACAATTATATTATGTTTAATTAGACCACCGTAGATTCAATAGATCATTGACTAATAGGAAAACTCTAATAGAAATGCAAGAGTTATTACACATCTTGTCGATATTACATCATTCGCTATAATATTGATGGTGGTA